CTCTTTCAGCCAAACAAAATATTTTATTAAATTATATCCTTTAGTAACTTTTTAAAAAAAATGCGCAAGAGAAATAAACTTTCTGAAGCTTTGCATGTTTGAAAATGGCTTTATTTTCCTTTCACAGTGGACTGACACATTTTAATTTTCCAAGAAACATCAGATTTCTATAATAGCCTTTCAAGCTATAAATGCACATTAGTGTGTCTTTACCCTGTGGAAATTAAAATCCAAGTGTACTAGTAATTACACAGTTAGGGACAAAATAAATCCTTGGACTTCTCCCCATCGGAGTCTCCACAGTGAAGCAATATTCCATACTTTACCTTTAGCCACTGTTTTGAACCGGTTGGGAAATCAAAAGTTGCATCATACAAGCCTTCCTGGTAGATACTTGGAAGAATTACAACACTCTTCAGCATGTTTAGAAACGTCCATATCCCTGCCCACATTTTACAAAGACATAATTGCATGGTGGGTGCCTTGGGACTTTTGAAATAAATACGTTCTGTGAACGAGGAGAAATGCAAACATGTTGGCAAAACTGATTATTTTCATTGTGGATTTCATGCTTGCTTTGGCCACTTTTGTTATCTTTTACCTAATGGCTGTCACTTGTATTTTCATCTTGGTCATTTTCTATATTTTCAAAGTGGAGATGGAAAAAAACTGTGACTTCCACAAGGGCCACATCTGGGCGCTGGATTCTAGGGATGCTACTGGGGAGCCCTTGGCAGGTGGTGCAGAGAAAGTCAGCTCCAAGCTGCTTCCTATCCATTTTCCAGCTGTAGGAGAAGGATCTTTCTTGCCCAGGGAGAGTGGTCCTCTCTTCTAAAGAGCAAGGAGCTCTCTGCGGTGAAGGCATGTGACGACTTCCCAGAACGCTGCACCCACCTGACTGAGAGGTCCTTTTTAAGGTGAGTGTGTTGAACAATGAACTTCATTTTCCTTCTTATGAAAAATACAAGTAAAATGCATTCATGAGACAAGAGGAGAAAAACAAATTCTTTTAATCACTGCCTTCCAGTTCTCAAAACCGGAGTTGTCATCCTCTGCAAATACTACCGAAAGCTTTTGTTTTTAGCTGAGTCTCAATTACCCAGCAAACCAGGGAATTCTACCTGTGTTATTGTCTCTCCCCAGGACTGATTAGACAAAGGGCAGAAGAAGATGAAACTTCAGTTTTAATCTCCTCTAGCAGTTTGGCTAAAAGGTTTGGTAAAAGAGAAACTTTGAGAAAATGGATGCTTTGATCATCCCTATTCTATTTCACAGCTTTGGTTCAGTGGAAGCAAATAGACCCGTTTTGCCTCAGTTTTTGTCAGATAAATGGCTACCATAGGTTCCCTGTGTTCGGGTTTTTGTGGTATAAATCCATATATTTTATGGTATTTGCATATATTTTTGTTTTCAGAAGGCTCCGGTAGGTTGATTTAATTTTAGCAGTTGTGATTACAACTTCTTAAAACCAAGTCCTTGTTTTTATATTTCATCTGCATTGCCTTATGGACTTCTGACTTCTTAACTGTTTTAAAAGTATTCTGATCAAACTGAAAAATCACTTTAGTCTATATGTCAGATAACATTTAAATGAATTCCTTACACTTTTTAAAAGTATTTCTTCCGATCAAACTGAAAAATCATTTTAATCTAAATGTCAGATAAGATTTAAATGAATTCCTTACAAAATGTAGCAAAATCATACTCAATAAAGAAAAAATAATAGGCTTAGCCCCAGAGACTATAAATGCATAAACTTTCAGAAAAAATAAATTAATTTAGTAAATAAATGTTATCCATATATCAGTCATGTTGCTTACTGCAGAGTACAGTAGCTCCTTTACAGAAGAAACTGGTTCAGTTTTGTCAAATGAGTACAGACTGTATTAAGGGATTTTAAAATCTTCCCACTACATCATTTCTAGGTTTATGCACAGATGTAGAGAGGCTGACCTACCTGGTGGGATGCACAACCACAGAACACCTTAAACAATTGCCCTTAACTGCTGATTACCTGCATGAAATTTACAGTTATGGAAGCAGTATTTTATGGAATGGTCATTCAGTTTTAAGAAAACTTGACTACCATGCAAGTTTCGTGGAAGAGGCACATAGAGTATGTTTCTGTTTGTCTTTAAATCTTGCCATTAATTCACTCCACAACATGTGTAGAGGGTCAAGAGGGATGAGGAGTAACAGGTAAATTTTGATTCGCATGAGCAGAAGAATAGATCCTGCACATGAGGCACTGGTGAAGTCAAGTGTCCCAGGGAAGAGCTAAGGGTCAGGGGTAAGGAAGAGGAGTGTGGAAAAGAGACACGATGTGAACCTTGGATGTGATCAGACTGAAGGGTACCAAGGCAAACATTCACTTTTGCCTTGTGTAAGCTCTTAGATACTGAAGAAAACTCTACACTCCACTGTGCTAACATTCACTGGGAATGGGCGATGGCCAGACCCCAACAAAGATTTCTTGTGTAGTCTTGGCCATTTGTCCTGGAGTTCTCTTATTTATCTCCTATGTGTTCCTAACGTCAAGGATTAGGGTTGATGGCAATGATTTGATAAGAAAGAAAATTTAAAAATGCTTTATGTTTTGAACATCTGATGCTGGCCCTCAACTTCCACTATACTTCCCGTCTTGTACTTGGCTTTAGAGGAGCTGCTGGCCCTGCAAGGTGTTTAAGTTTGTATAACCTGTCAGGTTCCTCCATCCCCACTTGAGTTATTTTTGCATCCAAAGCTGTCTCTCCCTTAGCCTTTATGTGGGTTCCAGAAAGGTAAGTTTAATACACCTAACTTAAAAAATCGGCTACGTGAAAATTCATTTCTAAGACTTGCTCCTTAACAGTGATCGAACCAGGGAACCTCGTAACTTTTGGCTCTGTTTTTTAGACTACGCTAGACCACTTTTAAAATTCAAAAGGATCTTGAACATCATTTAGTATACTTGTCATCCAACATTATGAAGTATCTTCTATAAGAAGCCTGTCCAACCTGTCCTGGGCCTGCGGGCTGCATGTGGCCCAGGACAACTTTGAATGTGGTCAAACACCAATTCATAAACTTTCTTAAAACATTTTGAGTTTTCTTTTTTCTTTTTGCAATTTTTTTTTTAGCTCATCAGCTAGCGTTAGCGTTAGTGTGTTTTGTGCTAGCGTTAGTGTATTTTATGTGCTGGTGTTAGTGTATTTTATGTGCTAACATTAGTGTTAATGTATTTTATGTGTGACCCAAGACAATTCTTTTTCCAATGTGGCCCAGGGAAGTCAAAAGACTGGATATACCACTCTTCTATAATATCCCTGAAAAATACTTGTCCAACTTCTGCTTAGACATTCTGCCTGAGATGCAATTTTTTGCCTCACAAGGCAGTGTGTTGTTAAGAAGTTTTTTATAACATATCATGGAAATCTGAGGCTCCACAACTTCCATCACTTTGTCCTATTTTTACTCTGTTAAGCGATTCAGAAAACAGTTGACTATGTACAATGACTTCAGTGGAAACAGAAACTCTAAGAAGAAAGATCAAGCTTCTCCTTTTATAAATTTCCTGCTTTGTACTCAAAGCATTGAGCAATGTTCTTTTTCATTGCAAATGAAACCCATGTAAGATCATAATAGTAAGATAAATCTAGAATGTATTGTGTATATTATTAGAAAATTCTTGATTTGTCTTTTCTGACTTCTTGTACATATTTGTTAATCAGGAATTTTGAAATCCATTTCTTCAAAGCTTCCTCAAGTCTGGGAGTGTTGCCAATTTGCATGGAAGAACAACATTTTATTAGTGCATTCATAACTATTAAAATGTAATTCTAATGCACTGACCCAATTTCACAGCACATCAAAAATTTAATTCAACTCAAAATGACTGTCACAAATGTCTGATAATTTTCCAGTGGTTGTTATTCATAAGGTCAGATAAATTTGAGTATTTTAGAAAACTGTCAGTACAGTTTTTTGTGAATATAGAAACAGGAACACCCCAAGTAGCAAGCTATCCTAATCTTTACTGAATGAAGCCCCTTACATCAAAGGTAGCTGAGAGTGGAGAAAATCGGAAAAGAGTCCAGCCATCCCATTTCCAGTGGCAGTGGATTCAGCTAAAGGGACCCTGGGGCTGGAGTAGGGAAGTCCATGTTCAGCATCCCCAGGGCTTTGTTAGTAGGTTTAGGGGAGTCAACGTGTTAGAAGCCAAAGATTTTCTGGCTTTGTGGATGGCTGAGGGTGAGCAAGCTTCTAGAACACAAAGAGAAAATTCAAGTCCTGGAATGCGTATCTATAGTCCCCTTTTTTGTTTCTGCCTCTGGTGACATTTCTAATAATATAAAGTTGGCCCTCTCTATCTGTGGGTTCCACATGTATTAATTCAATCAACCGTGTATGAAAAAATATTTTTAAAAAATTTTAAAGAATAAAAAAATAATATTATTTTAAAAATACAGTATAACAACTACTTACATAGCGTTTACACTTTATTAGCTATTGTAAGTAATCTAGCAATTAAAGTATAAAGCAGGACGTGCATAGATTAAATGCAAATACTCTGCCATTATATTTAAGGAACTAAGGTATCCTCAGACTTTGGCAACACTGGGATCCTGGAGCCAATCTCCCATGAATGCAGAGGGGTAACAGTAAAAGTCTGTGGATCTGGGAGTCCCTTTAAGATCTGGACCACACCACTTACTGGCAGTTTATTTGTATCAAGTCACTGCCTCCTTCAGCCCCTTTTTCTTCATCTGAAAAGAAGGGCATATAAAACTAATGACTTGTAAGGCCCCTTAAGGCCTAATATACTATAAATTTTTATTTTAAAAATGAGTTTAAAAGTAAGATGTTGGTCAGGCCCAGCGGCTCATGTCTGTAATCTCAGCACTTTGGGAGGTCGAGGCGGGCAGATCATGAGGTCAGGAGTTCGAGATCAACCTGGCCAACATGGTGAAAACCCGTCTCTACTAAAAATACAAAAATTAGCTGGGTATGGTGGCACTTACCTGTAATCCCAGATACTTGGGAGACTGAAGCAGGAGAATTGCTTGAATCCAGGAGGCAGAGGTTGTACTGAGTCGAGATTGCGCCACTGCACTCCAGCCTGGGTAACAGAGCAAGACTCTGTCTTGGGGAAAAGAAAAAAAAAGGTAAGATGCCTGGTCAGCCACGATGGCAATTTATACTGATGGTTTCTCAGCATTTGTCAATATACTTTGCTAATACGTGGGAGATATGTGAGCTGTGGGAATCCCCAAGGGACAAGATGAGAGTTTTCAGAACCACTTATAGGATTGAGGATAAACTTCTAGAATAAATTTTCTTGGGGACCAGACATTTATCTTTGTGTCCCCCTTGCGCCACCTGCTCACAATTAAAGTACGCCATGATCTGCACACCTGCACCCCTCAGGAATCCACTGTCCCGTTAGTTAGGACAGCCCATCTAAACATCTAAACCCATCCATTTTTGTTCTATGTGCAAGCAAAGCATCTGTTTTATAGTCAGTATTAATCACTTAGATTATTTTGCCTCCCAAGAGATCAATTTGTTTAACTATAAAATCAATATATGGTGTAAATACTATCAAATAGTCCCACCTGGGTTAACGTTATTTTAAGGCTGTATTGAGTCGCTGCTCTTTGCTATTACCTCTACTAGGCGGTTTGGCAAAACAAAAACACATAACACATAGATGTAGACTTCAAAAGAGTTCTCATATTATTTCCATTTGAAAGCATCCATGAACTAAATGTGAATTAGAAACCTCAGGCAAAGTAATTAACTAAACAAATAAAATGTAATATTTTTCCAAAAGTTAAAGTTTCAATAAAGTCCCAGAGTTTGCCAGCTCTAATTTTATTTATTTTTAATATCCTGTGTTTTGAATGAGAAAATCCAATTGTTTTGCATTGCAAATCATCTTTTTTGTCTTGTAAGTCAGAATTTGCTAAAAGTAAATGGACTATTTGTCAGTGACTTCACAGGTATGATACCAAAAACACAGGCAAAAAGAGGAATTTTTTCAAAATTAAAAACTTTTTATCAAAGGACACAAGTAACAGAGTGAGAAGGCAACCCAGAGAATGGGAGAAAAGATTTGCAAATCAGGTGTCTAACAAAGGGTTAATACACAAAATACGTAAAGAACTCCCACAACTCAACCTCAACAAATTAAAAAACCCAATTAAAAAGTGGGCAAAGAACTTAAATAGATATTTCTTCAAAGAACATATACAAATGGCCAATATGACATGAAAAGATGTTCAATACAAACCACAATGAGATATTCTGTCATGCCCATTAGAGTGGTTATTATTTTTAAAGAGCAGAGAAAATAAGTTTTGTTGAGAATGTGGAGGAATTGGAACTCTTGTGTACTAGTCATCGGAGTATAAAATGGTGCAGCCACTATGGAAAACAGCATGGCAGTTCCACAAAAATTAAGAAGTAGGTATATGATTCAGCAATTCCACTTCTTGATATATACCAAAAAGAATTGAAAACAGAGTCTCAAACATATTTTACACCAAAGTCGATAGCAACATTACTCACAATAGCCAAAAGGTAGAAGTAATTGAAATGTCTGTTGATGAACGAATGTATAAACAAAATGTAGTGTATACATTCAACGAAATTCAACCTTAAAGTAGGAAACTCTTACACATGCTACAACATGGATAAATCTTGAAGACTTTATGTTACATGAAATAAGCCAGTCACAGAAAGACAAATACATCTATATAATTTCACTTATATGAGGTACTCAGAGTTGTCAAATTCACACAGACAGAAAGCAGAATAGTGCTTGCTAGAGACTGGGGTGGGGGGAATGGGAGGTTGTTGTTTGAAGGGCACAGGATTTCAGTTTCATCCAAAGAAAAAGAGTTCTGTGGAGCGACGGTGGTAATGGTAGCGAACAACATGAATGTACTTACTGCCCCTGAATGGTACACTTTGAAGATGGCTAAGATGATAAATTTCACAGTCTGTATATTTGAACACAATAAAAAATAATAAGAAGAAAGTAGATCAATTATGTTTTGGCTTTTTTTGGGGGGGACAGGGTCTCACATTGTTACCCACCCTGGAGTGCAGTGGTGCGATCACGGCTCACTGCAGCCTCCCAGGTTCAAGCTTTCTTCTGCCTCAGCCACACCAGTAGGCACTACAGGTGTGCACCACCACACCCTGCTAATTTTTGTAGTTTTTTCTTTTGTAGAGACAAGGTTTCACCCTGTTGCCCAAGCTAATCTTTAACACCTGAACTCAAGCGATCTACCGGCCTCAGCCTCCCAAAGGGCTGGGATTACAGGCGTAAGCCACTGTGCCTGGCCCTGGTATTTTTTTTTAATCATTATAAAATGTCACATTTATTGCTACAGTGCTGTTATATATATATAATTCTATATATAATTGAATTATGAAAAGCTAATCAATGGAAATATGCTATAGCTTTAATGTGTCAAGATTCACGTGTTGGAAACTTAATTCCCCATGGCAACAGTGTTTGGAGGTGGAGCCTAAGAAGAGGTGATATGGTCATGAGGACCCTGCTGTTATGAATTCAATATATAATTGAATTATAAGACAGGTCTCCAAAATGACTTTAAAGAGGATTATTTAAAAATCTCAATCCAGCCAGCTGTATTGACATCTATAAAATTATTTTTCTTTAAAAAAGTTACTTTTTTTGAAAACCAGTTACCTTGAGGCCCTCAGAGCACAATTTCCACCCAATAATTGTGGTTTTGACCATCTCCTCACATTTTTTTCATTTTTTGTGTTGGGTTTATCTCATTATATATATATATCATATATGTAGATATAAATATATCTGTCTGCCAATATAGATAGATATCTGTTATATCTGTCTGTATATAGATAGACATAATTATCTATATAATTCTAGATGATATCTAGATAATTATCTAGAATATAATTATAATTTATATCTATAATTATATTCTCTATATAGATAGAGAATATAATTATATAGAGAATATAGAGCATATAATTATCCATATACAGACAGATATAACAGGTATCTATCTATATAGGTAGATAGACATATTTATATCTACATATATAATATGTATAATGAGATTAACCAGTGGAAAAAATTGGGGGAGGTGGACAAAACCACAATTATTGGGTGGAAATTGTGCTCTGAGTGCCTCCAGGTAACTGGTTTTCAAAAAAAGTAACTTTTTTAAAGAAAAAGTACAGTTTTATAGTAAGGCAAATAAATTATATATATATAATTTTATTTATAATTCAATTATATATTGAATTCATAACAGCAGGGTCCTCATGACCATATCACCTCTTCTTAGGCTCCACCTCCAAACGCTGTTGCCATGGGGAATTAAGTTTCCAACACGTGAATCTTGACACATTAAAGCTATAGCATATTTCCATTGATTAGCTTTTCATAATTCAATTATATATAGAATTATATATATTATATATTCAATTATATAATTGAATTATATGTAGCATATATATGTAATTTTATATAGAATTATATATAGAATTTGTTTTTTTTGCCTGATTATAAAAACTAGGCTATGGGGAATAATGCTCTTCACAGGGGGTATTTTGTATAGGTAAACTATCCAGATTATTTGGCTTTTAAAAATTGGATAGAACATATATGCCCAATCTCAACCTTGGATGCATAACAAAATCACCTAGCAAGCTACTTTAAAATAATAATTTTTTTGGTTCTAGGGTAAAGCCCTGACATGAAGATTTTAAAATCACATCCAGATGATTGCAACATGTAGCTAGAATTGAAAACTACTGCCCTAGGTTCTCAATCATTGAATTATATTAGTCTGATCATTTGGTTTGTTCTTGGCACTGATAAGTATCTTATCTTAGTTTATTTTGTGTTGCTCTAATAGAATAATTGAGACTGAGTAATTTATAAAAAATTGTTTGTTTGACTCATGGTTCTGGAGGCTGAAAAGTCCAAAAGCATGGTGCCAGCATCTGTGAGAAGCTTCATGCTACATCATTCCTTGGCAGAAGGCAGAAGGGCAAAAGAATATAAAAGCAAGAGAAAGCTGTGGCCAAACTTGCTTTTTTAACTAATTTACTCCCACAGTAATGACAGCAATCCATTCATAACAGCAGAGCCCTCATGACAAAATCACCTATTGTTAGGCCCCCCCTCCAAACACTGTTGCCATGGGGGATTAAGTCTTCAACACATGAATCTTGAGAGATACATTAAAGTATATTTCCATTAACTAACACTGTTTTCATAATGAAGCACTGAATATTAGTAAGCCAAACCATGAAATCCCACAAAGAAGTGTGGTATGCTCTTAGATAAATTAAAAACAATTCATAACAATTCAGTAGCACATTTATCAGATTTGCTTTCACTCTTGGACAAGGTGAGTCAACAATTCACTTGATGTTTAATGGCAGTTAATTCTTAAGAAGGTCATTCAAATACAGAGACACGACAATGAACTGAAAGCCTCACCTGAAGATTCTTATCAAAAGATACCAAAGTAAAGACAACGGAAAACAACTGCAGAATATTTACTATGTGATTGTTCTTATGGGAGACTCCTGAACTAGGTGACAGTCATATTCTCAGAGATTCAGGTTCGTGATTTCCACTGGGTATTAAGCCACCACGCTCTAAATTTCCAAGCCTGAGTTCTTCCCAAATCCCATTTGTTCTTCATATTGTCTCATGCATGCTGAAATTCCTAGTATCAAACTAAAGTCATGTTTTACTTCTTCTCTGGGAGCTATAGAAGTAGACTCCATTTGAAGTCTTGGCCCTGTGCCCTACACATTGTTGCGAGAATAATCTTGGGGAAATGTATGATCGAAGACTTGTAGTCGCTCTCACTGACCTAAAATAGAGTGATTGTGAATAACTTAATCTGGTGTTCTTAGTTTTCTGCACACTGTCTTTCCAACCTTATTACCAATGATTTCGCTGCACATTGCTGGGATTCAGCTGACCTAAACTAAATGTGGCTAGTCTGGGCTCTAAGCTGCAGGTTGGGCCCAATGCCTGGCCCGCAGGTCCCTCTTTCTCCTTGAACTGGCAGCTCTGTGAGGCATGATCTTCTCTTTGTGATGGATGGCTGGAG